GAGAAAAAAACATGTTTTTAAAGTAATTATTGTCAGATAATACAGCTGTATACTTTTTCATCTGATAAGAATTTATTTTTGCTGGTATTGCAATTAGCAGTCCGTTTTGCGATTTCAATCAAATTCCTTTAAGCTTTTATATTGGAAAGTTTCTGATTTAAGTCTTGCCAGTTTAAATCTTAAGTCAACTAAGCTGCTTGTAGTTGACCAGCAATGTATCTTTGATACCTGAAACCATGATTATCATGTCAGATATCTTACCGTGGTCCAAAGCTATGCAAAATAAATGTTTCCTCACTGTAATCAGGAGGTCTTTTGAAGTCGGATCTTGTTTTGTGATACATAGAAATATATAAACGATAATAAAGCAGGAAAAAGGTGGCTTTATGCACGATTAGAAATGGGAAAGAATTACACCAAGCAACTGCTATGCATTCTTCAGAATTCAATTTTTCAATGACAATACATCTCTTGATTCACTTTGAATACTGTGGATAATGCTTGTAACACTTTCTTTCCATCCTGATGAGTCATATCCTGTCTGTCCACAAACGCTCCGTCCTCAGCTCAACCGCTTCCAGCGAAATCTCTAACGTAACAGCGAGGGTCATGTCCTATTCACCCTGCGATCTACCGCACTAATCCTCTTGTAATTGGTTAGTATTTTTTATTTGTAAAGTTCCTCCTATAATCTGCTTCCTGTGCTCGTAGAACGAGAGAAAGGGCAGCAGATAGGTTTTGCCCCCCCCCTCGGTGAGGAAAAGCAGGCCAGGTGGAGTCTGGGTCAGATGTCTGGTCTGTCCAATGGAGGTTCTCTGCTCATGCAGGCTGGACTTATATTTAAATCTAAATCAAGCAGACTTTGACATTTTACTAATCACTGGACTAATCCTGTTAGTTCACGAGTGAACCTTCAACAAAAGAGGATCCTTGATAATCCCAATGGAGAAGTGTTTTGCGCAATTTTGGTCGAAATTCTAATAAATGCCTTAATGTCATAAACAAACCAAATCACACATTTAGCATTAGTAATGTGTGATATAGGTGTGTGCATGTAAATGTTCTGCAAAGGCTAAAACCCCAAAGTTTCTCTCACCCCTCCTGGAACATCTCCATTGGACTCCTTTGTTTACTTCCCCAACATAGTTACATCACCATGTAACACTCAAGCTTACCCAGCCGACCATCAGAGCAGACTGGGCGCTGGTTTCAGACAGAGGGTGAAAAGAGGTGCCCTTTTTAACATTAAAGTATGTCAACTTGTCACAGTAGGGGCACCAAATAGGAATATCATTCTGAAAAACTAGCATAGTAGGGCTCCTTTTTAATAACATATCTTTGTTTGGTACAGAAAAAATCCAAAACATATTCATTTAAAATACATGTTTTTATGATAATAAGAAGGATTTTGAAAAAACTATGAATCCCTCCAATATGATGAATCATGTTTCAATTGTGTAAAATGATCCATATTAGTTATATGCCTCTCCTTTGAGCATCATGACTGATTGTCTTGTGTCCTTCACTCTTCACATGTTTCCTCGAAACACGTCAGGCAGCTTTGTGATTGACAAGCAGTCAGTGTCCCTTTAATCCATCTGTTGAAAGCAAAGTGATGCTTCATGTCCACACACGTACTTGTCTGACATTTACATTTTGCTCCCAAAAAGGCAATTTCTATCCTTTTTCATTTATTTTCTGTAAATGTCAGTCCCAGCTCATTTATTCTAAGTCGTTCTGACACACAGAAACTCAATCTATTAACAATGAGAATGTCAGGCTAAGATATCGTTGTTGCTCAGTGTTTATATTTATGCTTTTGTGGTCATACGAGTTATTAAAGAAATTATTTGAAACTGCATTGTGTCCCATAATAGGAGATGAGATTGATCTTTTGTGTGCATTGGCTGCTCTGAAGTGATACAAGATCTGCTGAGCTGACACATGAGTCTTATTTTAATATCACTGTCATGGGTGTGTGTCGTGAAGTGGACAAAAACAGAAAGGCCTAAATGCTAACCCACTGTTGAAGTTTTATTTTGAAGCTTGGAGATATTATCTCATCGGCATGAGCTTCATGAAGGCGCTCAGTGTCACCATCTTTCCGCTCTCCGCTGGGTTATATTCATCAATAATAAGCCTTTGTAATGTGTTGGGGTGCTGGTGAAAGGCTATGATTTAGGATGTGAAATGCCTGATTTCCATGACTCATTTGGTCTATATGTCACTTCCATTCTTGTTGGATCATTGACAGTAACCAGCTTTTTTATTTCCAAATCAAAAGTCAAGAGCGAAAAACTATTTTGGAATTTGTTAAGGATGTGGGGACTTCTTTTTTATTTAACATTTCAACATGTACCTTACATTTCTTATTTTAGTTTGATTTCGCATAACAGAAAATAGATCAAAACATGAAGTGTTTTTTTATTTAGTTAAGTGATGAAATACTTGTTATTCAGACATTCTCTATGTGTTGGCAGGTGAGGGTGAAGTAGTAATGTACAGCGCATTATAATATTATAGCTAAATGCCTGAAACACAACTGCTTGAAATATTTGAAAGGGGCCCTATTGTTTCAACCCATACACTTTTATATTATATTAGTGTTTCTTACATTTATGGAAACAACAATATTGCTTTATTTTCTATTCAAACTGTATTCTTGTCTAAAGCCTGCCTTGGAAACTAATAAAGGTAGAAGTAGCAAACAAGAACACAGCAATCTTGTGAAATGCATTGTACATCAGAGTCTGATGATACGACAGTGTAAGACGACCTAGAAGAGCCAGATTAGTCTCTGTAGTCGAGCTTTGTCCTCTCTTATCTCAATGTAGCAAGAAACTGTCTCTGTGTTGCTTCTCTGAAAAACCTGTTTATTATCTCCATACATGGTTGTCTGGGTGTAAATGTAGGTTGCAGCGTGAAACGATTGGACTGTTGTTATGCATGGGTTCCCCTGTGTTATTAACCATAAAACATATTTATGTTACTGCATATAGGATTAAGAGTTTCAATTAATAAATCCTGCTATTGTTTTCATTCATCAATTAAAAGTGTAGCCTTCAGAATAGGATAATAGAAGCCCATATGGATTTTTTTTATCAATACTCATTTCATTGTATGTCTGGTTATAAAGCACAAAAAAAACACATTATTAGATTGGAGGAGCTGAAACCAGAACATGTGTGGTTGTGTTACCCTGTAATTGAAATATCCTCATTTATTAATTTTCTCCTTCAATTGACTAATCAAATGAAAATAACCGGATCTCTTTGATTACATACTCCACTGGTTGTTTGAATACTCCTTTGAAATGTCAGAAATATTTTCATATTCTTTTATTATTTTTACAATTGTTACACAAAGTGCACATAAAACAAACCTTTTTGGTACAATGTGGCATTGTTGCTCGTTTTAATAGTTTCTGCTATTTCATGCTTCTCACTAAAATTGCACATGCAACCTTTTTTTGTGTGTCACCGATGATAGACGATTCACTTGACCTTATTGCATACGTGTGTCAGTCTCCCTGACACACAAACGGAGCCCCGGGTAGCTAATGGTGCGTTGGATTAGCCTGCCAAGGCACACAGTAGTTAGGGAGGTTTAACCCAATGATCCCCGCTTAAACATGAGCTTTAAATCCTCACAGCTGACGTTCAGCCATTCACCGGGACATTGCTCCTGTATATGCTCACTTACTCTTACGACTATGTGTGAATATAGTTTGGTTTTGACAGTGCACAAAACATAGTTGAGAGGTTGTTTGGATAAATATTTCCCCCCAGTGTTTTTGCAACAGGGGAAGTAACATGTAATCATTAGCTTTGCGGTACTGTAAACCTGAGTGTTCCTCCTGTTTAAACCAGGGCGGGACATACAGTTGGTTTGTATGCACTGTTTAACAAGACAGGGTTAGTGTGGGTTAATATACAAAGAAACATGGACTATGGACTAATGCACCACCATAATCATGGTTACAGATATTGTTAAGAACTGTCGGTGAATACATAAAAAAACAAAACAGAATAAATGGTATATAACTTGACAACACTATTGCTCACAATTTATCTTTAAATCTGATCATAGTTGTCTTTTCATACAGCGCACTTTAATAGCGATTAATATTAACATAAGTGTCATTGAGGAGGACTATTTTGTATTAATGTCGTTTTAATCAGAGTTTTCAATTAAAACAGGAAATACCAACATGCAACATGTGCACCTTATATATCTTTTGTCTTCACTAAAGTAAGTGTTATGGCTTTTACATTTTTGTTAAATGATATTATGGAATACGACAAATAAAAAAGCCATAAGATAAACATTATCTTAGTTTATTACAAAGATATAAGCCATATGACAAAGAGCTTAAATGTGTCTCAATCATCTTGTTCTTTGTGCACTCATTCTTGAAAAGCTAGTGCAAGTCTAAGGCCAAGCTAATACGGGTGCACTTATTGAACCTAATGTGCAAAGGCCAGCTTAGACCCTCTTTGGATTTTCTCAGCAGGATACTTTTTATTGATCAGTGCTAAACAATCGGACGGCATTAGCATTTCTGTTCTTGCTAATTTACAAGAGTAGTATAAAAACGAACACATTTGATTGTGTTCGTCCAATATAAATGTATTAACATTTCGCTATTAAAGTTGTTTGGACAGTATGGTATTTTAGTTTATGCTAATAGCTAGTTGCTAATTTTACCTTACACGCTGTAATAAAGCCAGATTTAGACTATACACATGAAACATGACACATTGCATCAACCATGACTGCTGCATATGAAATATGTAATAGCACTCAAAAAAATTAAAATAATAATAATGACCTCTGATGGTTATGTGAACAACATTTGGACATAAGATTTTTTTAAATGTATTTAGAGCCTGTTTTGTCTCCATGCTTGGGGGACACAGATTGTGTATATTTTTCTCATATGGACACATGGACCATTTTCAGTAACCAGTCTTGTCTTCTGTCCCCTGGCTGCGCTTCAGGTGGTTCCACCCCAACATCACCGGAATTGAGGCAGAGCAGCTCCTGTTGACCCGTGGCGTCCACGGCAGTTTCCTGGCCCGGCCCAGCAAGAGCAACCCGGGGGATTTCACCCTCTCTGTCAGGTAAGGCCTCAGCCTCACTCCCTTGCTTTTTTTCAATTTGATTTTGTTCACCATCAGCCTCACCATTTATTATTTACTTGATTAAAAGGTGGGGCTGCACAATTAAAATGAGTCCAACTGTATAAGCCTTAATGCCCTGTATCAAAAAGTAATCACACAAAATGAACTTGAGGGTGCCACAGCACCCTTTTAATAAGTGACTGTGGATTGAGTTGGTTTTCAGTGTTTGACTGAAAGTAGTAAGGTCACCGCTCAGGAGTGGGAAATGCCTTCGAGGTGCTGAGATTCCTACCCCTGGCTCGGCAGGCGATGTAACGACTTGTCTGCAGAACAGTAGCTGTTTTGTGTGAGTGTTTCTAGGAACATGTTGGATAACATATTTGTGCGATTTGGAAAGATTATGGCTTTAAAGCTGAGATGAGTCTGACAAACAAAATACTCCAAACATTTTCTCTTCAAATGTGAACCCTGGTGTGTATCAGAGAATCGACATTTCTGGTAAGTAGGACTCAGCACTGCACGCTGTGGTGATTACAGAGAGGGAGGAAACAAACTTAGATAGAAGAAGAGAGAGTTTGAAGAGTGGCTCTTCCTTGGCAACGGAAGCTTTTAAGAGATACATCATACTGTAGACGCCAAGCGCCTGGAAGAAAGCCCAAACACATTTGTTACGCAGTGACTTTAGCTCTGGCTAGCATGGCGGCATGGGGAGGGTTTGTTTCTGAAAGGGACAGAAAGAGGAAAAGGAAGCTAAAGTTGGGACAATGGGACAGGCAGCTGCCAGCTTTTAAAATAATGTTAAAGAGTGAAGAACCTGTTAAGGCTTTGACCTTCACTGCCCGAGGTTTGTGGGTGTGTGTGGTGCAGTGTCGTAAATCACACACAACAGGAGGGTTGGTGGGGAGAGCTGTCGCCACAGTTTGTTGTCTTGACAGACTTAGGCCCCTTCCACACGGAGACGAAACGGAGACGAAAACTAACCAATTCGATATCAAAAAAGTCTTCCGTCCACACGGAATCGGCTCAAGAAACGTGTCCGTCCACATGAGACTGCTCGACCCGCTGGAGACGCTGTAGCACATATGCCGGGCCTGTAAGTGGCGCTGTACTTCCATCACAAAATACACCAAAAGCAGCGAATAAAACCGATGACGACAATTATTATTATTATTATTATATTATTATTGTTGCTGATGGTTGTGGTAGAGGAGCTGTAGATTTTTGCACTAAAATCTGTATCATGGTCCGTCGTGTCTGGAGCACGAACGCAACCCAGTGATCCGACATTGTTGTTGTTGTTGGCGAAACGCATCAGCAATGACGCGGGTGACGTGGGGGTGAGCAGGAGAGGTGGGGAGAGATGGGGCTATGGCGTCATCGTTTTCAGGGAATGATCGTATAGGGCGTACACACGGCGCGGCAAGTGTTTCGTCCTCAGACCTACCCACTTTGGGAGCCGTTTTCAACGTGTATCGGATTCGGGGCTCCGAATCCGCGTTTCCGTGTCGGCCTCATGTGGACGAACCGTCTATACAATAGAGAACGTTAGCAGATTCAACTGATATCGTCTCCTTGTGGACGGGGCCTTTAACACACACGTCTCACACACACACACACACACACACACACACACACACACACACACACACACACACACACACACACACACACGCGCAAACACACACACATACAGGTGAAGTGGCCAGTGTGCAGAGAGGAAAAAAAAGAGCTTGTGCCGCCAGTATGAAGTCAACAGTGACCTAATAAGTGCAGCTGCAGCTTGTACAGTTTATTTATCGTTTAAATAAATGCTAGAACTTCTGAAGACCCAATCCTAGTTAACTTTTTTACCTGCTGATTAAAGTGGGGTTAGTCCTGCATCTAGTGATAACTACTGAGGCTCTCTTTAAGAGGACATAAGTGAGGACAAGAGTGCTTTATTTTTCTCATACTGCCTGTGCTACAGCACCTCTTTTTACCCTCTCAGGTTGGTGTGTAGCGGCCTTAAGCATAACACGCACAATGTGTTGGAGGGGTAGCCAATAGAAGTGCAAGTGTGACATAGTGATGTCACTATGTTATGGAAGTAAACAAAGGAGTCCAATGGAGGCGTTTCAGGCATTGGTGTGTGGGAGAGAAAGGATTTTTTCATTTTTTAAACATGGATTTGAAACTGATTATCCTGCGATAACAAGATTACTTGTTTAGCAAATATTTTAGCACAAAAAGTTATCTGGTGTATTTGAACAACAGTCAAGAAAAACCTACCACTTTAAAGTGACACTGGGGCAACATGGAATATAAATGAATACTGCATTATGCATCCTGGTTCTGCCAAAATATCCTATGTCTCAGAAAGTTCAGATAATTATTGAGGCAAAACTTTACTCAACCTATGTAAAAGTTTTCAAATTGTACTGCGCCAAATAAAGTCTGTAGAATGTATACAAATAATTGGAAATGCTGAAGATAATTACCTAATTATCCCGTATCTGGAGAAGCTATTCTTGGCTAGCGTATCATGCTACCTAACACACACACGCATACAGTGTCTTATCAGAGCAGGGGAGGCTAATTAGCCAGTCATTAGCCAGGTTTCATCTTACCGAGGCCATTATGAGTCTGATAGTCTGTGAATGTTCAGATTGTAATGGACGCTGAGGGAGTCTGTTGTCCTCTCTCTGCTCTTTCTCTCAGTCTTATCTTCGTCTCCCTGCCTCTGCTCTTCTTATCTCCACCACCTCTCTTCCCCGGTCCTCGATGTGAACAGAAGAGAGGAGGGGTCGGACAGAGCTGCTGCTGAAAAGCATCTGAAGGCTGAGAAGCTTTTTTGAAGGGTTTGAAATGTCATATTTTAGAGGCTTCTTAAACTCAAAGAGAGGAAAAAGAGAAAGTTTGGAGCAGAGAAAGTTTCGTCATAATTTACTTCAACTTCATTCTGGTAAAGTTTTCTAATTGTCCATGCTCTTTATAGACTCCAAAGTCCTGGAGGAGGAATTTTAAGGGCACTCTAAAGAGAGAATTTTACAGGGCCAGTTTCCACAGAGAGCAAATGGATTATCTCCCAGCCTGTGTATTATATAATTCTAGCCTGAGCTTACGATATGTTTCCAGCCAGGCTATTTATAGCACAGTCGAGAACCATTGCATCATCCTTACAATCAATTTCAATCTTTGAATGAACTGTTTTTAGACAACAATTGTTTCCAAATAGTGTTTCTAACAAGTTTTAAACGGTTTCTCTATTCAATTGTTAAATGTGAATGTTGCATTCTGACATTGTGACACTACCTCGTTTAAAAACCCTCTGCAAATACTGGCATTAGATGTGCTACCCTCTAGATCTGCAGGTCAACAGGGACAAAGGCAACAGCCATGGGGTGTCAGTGTTCTTCTTTCCTGATATTTGCCAACACAGTAGGCCTTATGCATGTACTATGAACAATATACACCTCCTGAACAGCAGAAATTCTAAAGCAAATTCAACACAACTATTTGAGCTATGCTACTTAACAACGCTAACTGCTCCAGATTAAGTAAGTATGTTAAAGGTAGGGTAGGGTAGGTAATTCACTTCAGAAACACTTTTTGTTATATTCCATGGAATGCTCTTAATATCCCGATAGCAATGAATAAATTAAATGCTTGGACAATAAATACATAAACAAATTTCATCAGTGGAAGCCGTGGCGCTGTAAAAAGCACGACCAATTATTTGCCTCGGCCCGCGACAAATAATTGGATGGCCTACCTGCCTGTCAGCCTTCCATCTGTGCACAAACTTTTCTCGTGCCCTCATTCCTCATGTGCGCGTTCGTGTGGGTTGGAGGAGGGGCTCTAAGGAAGTCTGAAGGAAGGGGCAGATTTTTTCGGTTGTGTACTTTCAAATTCTAGAGCTGGTTTCTCCATTCTTACCTACCCTACCTTTAAGTATGCTATTTTCTTTTAGCAGGAATGCTAAAAGAAACATTTGTGTATTATGATATACCAATGTGGCATTAGCCTACAGAAACTCCCATTGTTGTCACTTAGCTGTTATGTTTAACAAATTGTGTAGTAAATCCAGACCATATATTTTAATTCGGTGCAGGCTTTATTTTTCTTCTCCTTTTTTTAAATGTACTGCTTGCAAAAAAGATGTTAAATAGAAAATGTAAATGTATGCAGGTGTTTGAATATAGCGATCAAAAGGTGTCTGATTATCTGCTAGGGATGTTTGTTTTACATTGAACTCTCCCAACTGTACAAGAAATAGCAATATGTTCAAAGTTTAGCCCTGTGACGTCCGTCCTCTATTGTACAAGGCAGTTTGGATGATACTGGTGGTTTTAACAGTTAAAACAGTTCCTGGTTGGCTTAATTTGCAGACACCTCTCGGCTCAAATTGCAGAACTTTCAAAAGTGAGTCTAATAAACTGAGGAAAAAAAGAAGTTCAAAAGAATTTATATTTGACCATGTGATGCCTTAAATGTATTCCTTAACAAGCTTTTGGGACACATTCACTTGACATAACTTCTGACATTTTAAATCAAGATATTGAACATGCCTCCTGAAGGATTTAGGCTGAAAACCAGAGGAGTATGTGGAGATGCAAAAGGGGAATTGAATAAGGGGCCCAAACTTTATCACTTTCAATTTGAAAAGTGGACTGGATACGGTAAAAGGGATTTCTCAGTGGTTTCAGGCTGTATTGAGTGAAACATATTTCTTGGAATAGCTTCAGGGCTAAGCGAGTCATATTTTATATATATATATATATATATATTTATGATATATTCTGAGCTTTGTACATGCGTATTTAAGTGCATTTCCCAGTTGACTTCTTCTTTTACTAGTTAGTTTATCAAACTGATTCCAAAACTGTTTGCTACTTAAAAAAGCAAAGCAAAGCAGTATATCTGAGATTAATATATCATGTTATCAGTGAATCCAACCAATTGTGTGCACCTTTTCAGAACAATATATCAGTTCTATTTCCAACACTGCTTTGCAGGTAAAATAAAATTACATTATGTTGCTTTCACTTAATAAAAAAAACAGAACTTCTGTCTGAAGGAGGAACAAACTTGTACTTCTCATATTGCTGTTTTACTACCATTTGTATTGTAGTAATTATAGGGAACACCTTGATTGCTTGTTTGTCTTTCAGAGTTAACGGTTTTTTCCCGACATACCTGTAATTGTGTCTTTCTGGTGGGCAACAACAGCCTGTATCTCTCCTGCGTGAATCACATTACTGCCCATCACTTGGCATCAAACTGAAGGGAAAACCTGCCTTATTTTTATTAAATGTGTGATAATGGCTTGTACTGTAAACATCCATAACATTTTGCCAAAGAAGAGTGACTTAATTGATATATGAGGTAGGTTACTAACACACAAGGAATCATTCAAAAGGTTTTAAAGTGCCTTAAACGATATGCCTTGCAAAAACAACCTCCAAAAGGCCCCAAAACACACTCTGTGCGACATTTTTATAAATGCATGTATTCTTGACATTGTGGTGTCAAGGACTCTTTGTGTTGTGCAATTTTCTAGTGCGGTTTTTTTGTTGGTCAGTGATGTTTTTTAAATGTAAGTTTACTATCATGGCAAACTGCAATTCTTTCACACCCTACACCCCAAGGCACTGCAAAATTGGCAATATTTATAACCTTCACATGATCATAATTAGGCACGGTGTAGCATATATATACAATATAATGCTTTATAGCCCTTTTAATTGGCTCATTTATTCCATTTTATATGTATTTATTTATATATATATATATAAACAGCGTGGAACTGTTTTGAGGCATTTTATTAAATGTGTATTTACATGTGTATTTTAAGAGTCACTGCTACCAGTTTGCAGTATTAAGCTGGATATTATTTGTATATTAAGATGCAAAAAGTATTTTTAAAGATTCTAGGTTTTTTTGTCACTTGCACTAAACTTACAGTGTTTTGTTGGCAATGAAAATATTCCAAACTCTCAACAGTACACTCTCAACATACAATATGTTTGCCATATATAATAAATTAGTATTTTTTGTTTTAAAAAAGCAGTACAACATTGTTCAATTGATTGCAGATATGTTTGAAGGTAAAATGCAGGAATAAGTAACCTATATACAGTACATGTAAGATAACATTTAAATAAAATGACTTGCTTTTTATACAATATTATTCATAAAATAATGTAAATGAACTGTACTTAAGTAGAAATCAATCAGTCATGGTGTCTTTATTTCAGCAGTTTCATTAACTTGTCCAGTCTGATGCTGTTGGTTTCAAACCATAGCTGTACTTTCTGCTCGTTTTCTTTAGTTTGATGTTAATAAGGCACACACAGACTGTTTTATAGTTGATATGAAATAGACCTGTGGTATCTAATCATTTATTCTGTATATCAAAAGAACAGTGGCTCAGTTATCACTAAAAGATCAATAGATTTTCATCTGATGGTGAATACTGCCTAATTAAAGTTACATCTCTTACTCTTTTACATAAAACAAGACAAATACAGAACATCTTGCTAGTATTTGAAATGTATCGAAACAGTAATAAGACAGAGCCGAGCGGACACGATGCTGACCGTGGCTCCCTATATTCTCTCTGTAAAGCAGTGGCGGAGCCAGGACATTTTCAGTGGGGTGGCCAGGATGGAACCAGTGATCATTTTGGGGTGGCATTGAAATCACTATTATATGAACATAAAAATACAATCTCACTACCTGTACAGGCTTGCATCTATCTTGTAGTCCAATACTAACCGCACAATATTTACTGACACTGAGCTGTGAAAATATAACACTTATGGGGGGACAGGGCTGCTATGTCTAGAGATGGATCTGTTGGTCCTGGCACCAGGGGGAGGGACAACTGATTTAGTATGAATAGCTGCTAAAAATGTACCTGCATTTATTAAATGTCAGCTAAAAGAGGAGTGAAATTAAAAACCTGTATAGATATTAACAGTACTTAATGTCAGCTTAGTAAAAACAAAACATAATTATTATTTACAATGCACTACGCGTAGCTAACACACATTTCCACGACTCATAGACCACACCCACCTTTTCTTTGAAAAACTGGGTGACATACTGTCGCCCTTTAGTCCCTCTCTCTTGTCTTTCTCTCCTTTCTTTTCTCTTTTGAAAGCCTGACTTTGTGATTCGTTGAGACATGGTTCACACGTAAGTACTAGCATCCCTACTCCTAACATGCTCTCACTCTCTGCTAGAAAGTGCCGGCGGTGCTGCACGCGTTTGGAGGCAGGACCAAACCATTACATGTAAATAGAAGGGGGTATACAGAAGCTTTGGATAATTAACTTTTGGAAGAAAATAAGTTAAATGAATTGTAAGTTTAGTGAGTACATTATCAATTTAACGTCCTATTAATGTTAATTCTTGATGAATGATGAAAGGTTACTTAAACATTTTTTTCTTAATGTGCTAAAATTGTTTGGGCCCCTGTGGCGAGGGTGTTTGGGGTGGCCAATAGGGTGGCCAGGATTCAGCTGGGGGTGGCCGTGGCCACTCCCAGCCACCCCCCAGCTCCGCCACTGCTGTAAAGAAGACTCCCATATCGTAATAAATCCATACATGTTATTAATGTCTGAAAAAGGCATAGTGGGAATGGAAATCTAATAGCACGTGGTTAGCTCATTCCAGAGTTAATGGTGTTAAACTCTGGGAGAAAAGGGGGCTTTGGCCCCGAGAGTTGAGGAGAGGCCTTTAACAGGGCCATAGACCTGTGGCTCCCTGCCAACAGCCACTAATAGAGCCATAAAGCAATTACCAGGAAATAGTGGGAGAGAGGGATGGAGAGAAAGGAAAGGATTTACAATATGTTGAGTGGAAAGGAGGAATGTGAAATTCATTAGGACAACAAGAAAAGTGATGGAGGGAAATGGGATTTGTGCCATTTGATATGACCATTAGCCGCTAATCTGATTGTATCGACTAAGTAATATACATTGCAGATCAGATAGTACTGCCTGCTTGCATAACCCCCCTCTGTAGTATGCGTGTCGTCATTCTTGATACGTGAACAGGATGTTTTGTTTACCTCTGCTAACATGTCGAGCAAAGTCACTGGAGATAGGAAATGGAAAAACATTTTGCAATCAAGCTGGAACTGCATGTCGTGCTTCCAGGCGAATAACTTCACAGAGAAGATCTGTGTGTCTTTGTCGGTGTATTATCAGATTTGTGTTCACCTATTCAAAGCAGTCAAAGGACTTTGAATATGCAAAGTAGTACCAAATGTTTTCTGGCTTATCAGTCTTCCAGCTGCACGCGTTTCTGTTGTATTGTTCCGCAATCACAATACAGCGTTCCTCCACACACTTTAGAGTGTTGAGAAAAAAAAGGATGATCCCTTGCGAGAAGATTTTGTGTAAGGAAGGCAAAATGAAAACCTTCTGTATGATAAATGGATTAGTATGTTTGAAATCACTACAGCTTCCTAGCGTTTTTCTGCATTTAATTTTCTTCGCTAGCTTATTTAATCATTCCGGTGTTGACACATTCACTTTGTTATATTTAGAGCAGATATTCACTTCTTATACAATGTTGCAGAGAAATGTCACAGACACAATGCGGTCAAACACAATGCGGTGGATTAGTAAGTAAGCACCTTTCCCAGAGAAAGTTTACAAAGTGCTTCTCAAGAATGGAAGTGGTTAAAAATAATAGACCTTGCAATCACACATAATGACAACAATCTGAAATCTATAGGAAGAGCAATCCACAGGGTCGGAGCCACCACTTGAAAGGCAATCACATTTGTTTTGTATACATACTGTCATTGCATAACTACAAACTAGTATAAGAGAATCACCACGAACTGCAGATTGTGTCTTTAAGAAAACGAGGTTCTAATGGGAGCAGATGGCTTGATAAGCTAGGCATTTTTAAAGTGTATATGCATAGATGCTCTGTGAGTGAGTGTGGGTCCGAAAGTGTGTATGGTCTCGAATTTCTAAACGTGTGTGGGTGGTTGTTTATGTGTGTGAGTTTAAATATCTGCAGGGTGCAAGGCACCAGGGAAACAATGTTGAGTGCTTCAGTCCACTTTTTTTTTAACCTACATATGGTCATTAACTGTGTTTTTTCCCCCTCAGGCGCAACGATGAGGTGACCCACATTAAGATCCAGAACCAGGGTGACTACTACGACCTGTACGGAGGCGAGAAGTTTGCCACGCTGGCCGAGCTGGTGCAGTATTACACAGAGCAACAGGACCTCTTGCGCGAGAGGAACGGCCATGTCATCGAGCTCAAGTACCCACTCAACTGCAAGGACCCCACCTCTGAGAGGTGCCCACAAAACACCAACACCCACACATGCAGATAAACTATGCAGATAAACTAGGCAGATGGATACAAATATACTTAAACTTTATCTAAGGTCAGATGGATACAATGCTCTTCTGGCTGAACTCATTATAACTGCATGGAAGTTTCTCCCCGACGACAGACAGTTATTTTTATTTCTTTCAGCTTCAGGGTTGTCAGGCAGTAAAGCCTCATCCTGCCATGAGAAGCAGCTAAAGCACCTGAGAAATGTTATTAGTCTAGCTTCCAGGGCAGTCTCAGTATCCTGTTATGGCCTGAGTGATATTTGTGAGGCTTTTCCGCCCTGCAGAGAACACAACTCTTGCTCTCTCCTTGTAATTTCTTCAATATGTTTTGGGGGCACGAAAATGTTTAAATGTAATATTATGCATTAAAGTGTTGCGTCCTCATGCTTTTCCAGCATACTGAACTGAAAAAGGCTGTTTTGAGACCAGTGTAGAATTGCAATTACAGTCTGTATTGGGAAGCCACTTATACCAGAAAAAAACATGTACAGTTGGGGAAATCAAATAAACCAATACCCCTACAGTTGACAAAGAAGGTTTACATTGATTATTAATATGAGGTACAAGGGAGATTAGAATGACTGAGTGTCTATAAAATGAAAAGCCTCACTGATACTCTTATAATCGTATTGTGGGGCCACTGGATAGCTCAGTCGTAAGATCGGCCCATAATGCAGGAACAACAACAATATAAATCGTATTGTAAGAAATTGAAATATCATAAAGAAAAAAAACATATATTTATATAAAACCGTCATGTTATGTTCAGTGATGCAAATTAGTCGCTTTTCGGCACCTCCCGCTTTTTTGACGCTGATTTGAATGACTTGTGTAATTCGTGGAGAACCGAAGAGTTTTCGTTTTGGGGGGGGGGGGGGGGGTGGTCCGTCCGTACGTCAGTACGTCAGTACGTCAGTCCGACTGACGGACAACTTCTCACTTCAGAAAAGAAGAAGAAATCTAGACCGCAAAATAATGAAACAAATGAATGCCTGTTTTTCCTGGCCAAGGACAGGTTCCTTGAACACAACTCAACACGAGCGTAACGTGTCTTCAGGTGGTATGTCTCGTCTGAAAGGAGTGTAGACTGGAGCAGGGGTTCCCAAAGTGGGGGTCGCGAGATGATTACAAAATAAAAAATGAAAAATGAAAAAAAAAAAATCTATAAAAAAAAATTGATTAATTTTTTTTATAATTATTATTTTTTTTAATTATTAATAATAACGTTTGCATAGACATTTTTAGGGCCGGACTAGCTCTCTGTATAATTGCTCCGCAACGAGGCTCCCCCTTTGACAATCCACTAGCGCAGTGTTTCTCCAACTTTTTTTTCAGCTCCAGCTCTTCAGATATTGCAGTACCCATAAGGAGCCGTACACACCGCAGTGTTTGCGTGGCTGTGTCTTT